TATGTGACAGAACTCCACTATGCATTCTTAATCTTAAAGTGGTTATTGAAAATCCTTTAGACATTTACCATCTAAAAATAGAGATACAGGACATTAATGATAATGCACCACAGTTTCTCAGTAGCATAATCCAGTTGGAGATCATTGAAACAACCCAACCAGGCACCAGGTTCCTTCTTGGGAATGCCAAAGATCCGGATATCGGCACAAACGCTTTACAGAATTACCATCTTAGCACCAATCCTTACTTTTCCTTGGATGTGAAAGAGAGTCCGGATGGAAATAGGTTTGCAGACTTAGTACTGCAGAAACCACTCGATCGCGAGAGTGAACCAACCCTTCAGCTGACAGTTACTGTGCTGGATGGGGGGAAACCCAGAAAAACCGGAACAGCCCAAATACGGATCAATGTCACCGATGCCAATGATAATCCACCTATATTCACCCAAGAAATCTACACAGTCAGTCTGAGGGAAAATGTACCAGTTGGGTTCCTTGTGCTGCAGCTTGAAGCTTCAGATAAAGATGAAGGTTCACATGCAGAAATCAGATATTATTTCAGCAATATGCCACTGAGTGCAAATAAGAAATTCAGCCTGGATTCAACCAGTGGAATAATTTCTCTTGTGGAATCGTTGGACTTTGAGGAAACCAGAGAATATGTGATGACAGTAGCAGCAAAAGATGGAGGTGGATCAATGACCCATTGTAAAGTAGAAATAAGAGTCCTTGATGAGAATGATAATGTGCCCGAAATGATGTTCGCATCCGTTTTTAGTCCAATTCTGGAAGATTCTCAGTCTGGAACAGTTATTGCTCTAATTAAAACAAATGACAAGGACATTGGTGATAATGGAAAGGTATTTTGTTATTTAGAAGATGGCTTGCCATTCAAGATTCTTCCATCATCTAATAATTACTACACACTCCTGACAGACAGACCTCTGGACAGGGAAAAAGCATCTCAGTATAATATTACAATCACAGCCACTGACAAAGGAACTCCTCCACTGAGCACCCACAAAACCATCTCACTACAAATCTCTGATATCAATGACAACGCCCCTGCTTTTGAGAAAGCTTCCTACAGCATCTATGTGCCAGAAAACAATCCCTCTGG